TCTGGGCCCAGTGTCTTTCCTAGTTTACTTCTACTAATAACATTGACAATTTCCTCTATCGTTACTTTTTTTGTTTAGGGCTACTTTTTCTTGTTCTGTTATGTTAATTATCTGGGTTTCTAGATATTTTTCAATATTTCCTATTTTTAATCTTTTTTCTCCTGAAAGTTTCAAAAAATATTTGAAAAAAAATATCTTTTATTATTTCTTGTTCACTAATTATTTTGTCATCTTGTTTCAACTGATTAATACTTTTTTTCTCTTTCTTTCTTCTTAATTTATACGCTAAAAGTTTTCCAGGTTTATTTGCATGTTCAAAATTTCATTGTTTAATAAATCACATTTTTTCAAATGTTTCCATAGTTATTATAGAAATTTGTTTCTGAAGACATTTTTATTTCGTTTTGTCTTTCCTTATCATTTGGGTTTACCTACAAATATTTTTTTTTGTATTTCTTCCTCTAACTTTTGTATTTTCTCTTTTTTTTTTCATTTTAATTTTTTTGGATAAAGAATCCTCATATAAAGGCTTTCACTGCATCCCAGACTATATGGGTGGCTGTCTCTTTGTTTAATTTTTCCGCAAAGAGGAAAATTAAGTGTTTTTTGGCCTGTTCTACTATTTTCTCATTTCATAGAAGGAATTCATTTAGTTGCCCTCTATATGATTTGATACCTTTGCTGATTGTCATTGATACTGGGTTAAGGTCAGACCAAATCATTGGGTGTACCTCATATTTTTTTTTTCCAGTTTCACCAACAGTGATGAAATAAAAAACATGTTGAATCTCACCTAATACTTATCAGGTTTTGAGAAGAAGGGGTATTTTTTACTTCCAGTATATTTCTCTCTCTCTCCATGCATCTTTCAATCCCAATCTATCAGAAAGAATTTTTCTGGTAATTTACCTTGATTTTCTTTGATTTTTTTATTGAATATCCATCTAGTTTGGGGTTTAGGACCCCATTTCAGTCACCCAAAGTGATTATAGACTTCTAATTTAAATCTTCTGTTTGTCTCAATATCTTTTTGTAGAATTTATTATTTTTTTAGAAAAAATTAAATGAAATTGAAAACATTAGATCAATTACACGAGAAAGTATTTCAGTGTACCTGGTTCACATATTTTCAAATTAGAAAAAGGTTTTTGTTAGACATAAAAAGTCAACCCAAGATTTGTAAAAAAAATAATAGAATCAGATAACAAACATAGGATTAAGAAACTATGCAAATTTTTATTGACACTGGATATGGAAGAAGAGCAGATAAACCCCCAAATGATTAAATGGGCCCAGAATATTGGACACTTGATAAGCTTAGTGCAATGGGAGATGACATGGATAAAAAAAACCCTGAAATATACAGTAAATTATAACTTAAAAGGAAATTTCTATAAAATGTTATATAGATTGCACCTTATGCCATTTAAATTGTCAAAAATCTATAAAAAGGGAGAAAACAAATGGAAATGTGAGAAAGAGCTGGGCACTTTCTACTATATTTGGTGGGAGTCTAAATACGCAAAAACCTTCTGGAAGGAAATATATGAAGAAGTGGAAAAGATATTAGAATTGACTTTATCAAAAGATCCTGAGAAATATTTATTGAGTATAAACCAAGAAGAAAATCTGGAAAAAAAGAATATGGTAGACTCATATTTTATATGACAACAGAAGCAGAGATAATTTATGCTTCCAAATGGAAACAAAAAATAATCCCAGTAATAGAGGACTGGATCTGGAAATTATACGAATTAATGGAGAATGACAGATTAATGCAGATTGTACAGAAAAAAAAACACTCAAGAAATTCATGAATGTATGGAATCCATTTATTAAGTATGTGAAACAGAAATGGAGTGAACTATGGGTAATAGGATTAGAAAATGAAATGTAAGCATAAAAAATTAAAATTTAAAAGAGCCTTGCCCAAATTGTTGTATTTCAGTATACACATATCTTGATGAGACAAAATGCCTTATTATTGAAATGTTTATCAAAACAAAGACTATTATGTGATATCAGACATCAATAACAAAAATAAGAGAAAACATTATATAAAAGGAAAAAGAATCAGTAAAACAAAATCTACAAAGTTAATTATTATTGTTTTAAATGTGATAGGTGTCTGTACTGTGGATGTATTGTGATATCTTTTAATTGTTTTGTTTATTGAAATGCTGTTTTTTAACCAATAACATTAAAATTAAAAAACAGAAAGTTTGTGTACACTGAACCATATGAAAGCAAAAGTGATTACATGGGGTCAGCCACCTATGTGGACAAGTTTGGATTTTGAACTTCCAAATTCCTTATATGAAATACTCAACCTTTATCTGTTAAAACTCTCAATGGCATTACTTGCCCTGTGTAAATATGTCCCATGTAAACAACAAATAAAGTATCTGGTTGTCCTTCCTGTCATCTAAAATTTGACCTTGAACAAAGTTCTGGCAGTAATGATGGTCCTGGGAAGAAAATATATACCTGAAGAATAGAAATAATTTGCTAGTAATCTACCTTGTTATTGCATCCTCAGCAGTACCTTAAAAACATGGCTGTGTTCATCTGTATTCCTGATAGTTGGTGTGAACATAGGTGATTGCATGGGGTCAAAAGAAATATTCTGTTTGAGAACATCCCTATACAATTTAATAATATGGTACATATACATTCTAAGTGACACATCAAAGCAGAAAGAATAAAGGACAAAAAGAGAGGGCCAGAGGGGAAATAAAATCCATGTCATTCTGTAGGGTAAAGAAAATAAATATGGGCGTTAAAGAAAAAAAAATACCTACAGTTAAATACAGTCTGGTTCACACTCATTAAACCTCATGCACCAGAATGAACCAATTTGTAGATCCTGGTAAAATACTTAATAAAATAATAAAAGTTATTCCAGTCATCCAGCTGTTATGTTCTGTCTTTCTCTTCCATGTTAGAGTATATAGCAAAATAACATGGATTTGCTGGAACAAATGAAACCACCACCCCCCCCACACACACACACCTCTTACAAACTAGAAAAGAAAGAGACTAGATAACAGATCTGGGTACTAATGGTTCACTTTTATTAACTATTTAACTATTGTACTTTAAGCATTATGTTCTGCAGGAGGGAGGAGTCTGAAATGGATTCTAGCTGTGGTCAAGGGTCCTAACCTGATCTCCTTCACAGCCACTCCTAGATGAAACGCTTGCCCTCTGAGTGCCAGCCATCATTTTGGCTGCACACCCAGCCAGCTTTCAACAATTAATGCCTCCAACAACTCTAAAACTGCAGCTAAGTTGCATCCCCATCCTCTTCAAATGAAAGAAAGAATGGCAGGAGGATATTTGATTGGGACTTTCTTAGCTCGTGCTTTCTCTTTATTTGACCCTGTCCCTTTTTGGATACAATATTGGAAGAAGAAAAAAAAAAATAAAGGGGGATGATCTAACCTCCATATATCCTACTGGCTGTTGAGTCAGTAATCTTATATCTACTTCCTTAAGCACACACTGTCACCAACCAACAAAATGAAATACTGAGTAGTCCTTGCATGCACCCATACAGGCATGTGTTCACCCACCTAAATACATACCCACCTAATTGTGAGAGAACATATGCCACATAGTAGCTGATATTACAATATTAATTACTACTGATACTGATACCTTGTTGTCTTTGTTGTTGATATCATCATCATCATCATCATCATCATCATCATCATCATCATCTTTTGTGTGGAATAACAGCAACCAGAACAACATCAACAAACAAAACAAGCATCAATCCAATCCTATTGGAGTCAGGGAGAGCAAAAGACTCAACCTACTTACCTCTGAATGAAAAAAAAATCAATACCTTGGCTATGTTGTTGCCTAGCAACAAAGGCAACTGCAAGCCAAAGACTGCTTCCTCAGCCAATCCTAATCTGCCTAGCAACTTGACATCTGAAAACACCAGTGATCAGAGTGCCAGAAAAGCCAGCCAATCAAGAAAAGCAGAGCTGTAGTTTTAAAATCATCACTCAGGTGCCTATCGGACAAGCACCAGAAATGAAAGCAACCAATTTGCATCAAGGAGGAAGGAAAAGCTGTGTGGGTCTGTGCTAAACTTCCCAAACTCCTTACTGAAACATCTATCCAGACAACCCTCAAATCTCAGAGGACAAAGGCAGGAAGTGAGAAGACCAAACAGTCTCACATCTAAAGCTGTGTATGTTGTGAAGCAGAAGGCCTCAATGTACATTCAAGTGTGAGCAGTGGACCTGATCTACACCAGAACCAAGGCATAACTTCCAAACAGCTGCTGCTAAGCATAGCTATTTTGAAACTTGAACACCCACCATCTTTGCACAGGCCTTTTACTACTTTCCTTCACCCTTTCTGCTTCCCAACTGCCTATCATGGTCTACTTTCATGCTGGAGATTTGCAAACCTTTCCTGGATTGTTGTATCAACAAAAACTTCAAGAGCAGTTACAACCACAGAAGTGATCTCCACTGTATCAGGGAAACCAGCTATTGTCACTGCCACCAAAACCTTCACTGGAGCAGGGAGACCAGACACCACTACCATTGCCTCTCTTCAGACTGCTCCCCAGCCTTGCCTTGCCAATGAGGTTGACACCTCTCAATGGGAAGAACTGAAGAGAGGAAGAGTGCAGAAGGAGAGCAGGGTATAGGCCTAGATAAGACCATTCAGCGCATTCACTCCTCTGCTCTCCATTCTTAGAAGTCCCCTCCTCACTGTGTGCTTTGCTGCACAGTATAAGGTGCAAGTTTGCTAAGTGCTGGTGCATCATGACATGTTTTTTTTTTTAAATTGTATTTTTTTATGCAATCTCTTATGAATGGTGAGATTTTTAGACAGTAATAAAAAGTAGCAAAACAGGATTAATCAACACAAGAAATAATGGAATTTGTTCAAAACTGCTAATAGCAATGACATTACTTGCAGGTTACTTTCAAAATATTATCATGTGTAATGGCAATGAGTACTGTTGTGAGTGAGCCAGTGTGGTGCAGTGGTTTGAGGGTTGGACTACAACTCTGGAGAGCAGGGTTCAGTTCCCTGCTTGGCAATGGAAACCCACTGGATAACCTTGAGTAAATCATACACTTTCAGCCTCAGAAACCCTGTGATAGACTTGTGCTAGGGTTGCCATAACTTGAAAACAACTTGAAAGAACACAGCAACAACAAAAACAAATTGTCAGTCATGGCAGTGAATTACAATTTAGCAGTAACTTTCCATACTGCAACCCGTGTATACATATCTCTATATAATTAAAAATACTAGATAAAATATGGATCTCCATGCAAGATAAAAACTCATTAACTCTTTCTTCACCCAGTGCTTTTTCATGTTGCCCTCTCTTTCCTTTACTACAGTGTTCATTCAATCTTTGTGTCCTCTAATACCCTTACAATACACTAAGGGGGGTTGCAGACTGCCAGAAATAGTGCAAATTGAGTCCACTTTTAGGGTTAGGGTTAGTGCTAGGGAATCATGGGAATTGTTTTTTTTTTCTTTTCTGAGACATTGAGCCTTCTCTGTCAGAGCGCTCTGGTGCCACAATAAAATACAGTTCCCATGATTCCCTAACCCTAACCCTAACCCTAACCTTAAAGTGGACTCAATTTGCACTATTTCTGGCAGTCTGCAACCCCTCCCCAAGAGTCTCTCTCAGGATTTTCATACTCTATGATGCCAGAGACTGTGAGACATATAAGCATGTCTCCTGCTTTCTCCTTAAGTGTTTCTGATATTCATCAGTACGTATAAATACAGTTTAGGGTAGGTGAACTCTGCCAGCATTGCAACATATCATGAGATTTTCCCATGTTTGAAAAACAGCATGACAAGCCTGGAGAAGCCTGGATTGCATATGGATTGCATACTGCCTGCCTACGGGGCAGCATAGTAAGATCAATCTTTGACTTTTAAATTCCACATCCATCTCCCACGTGAACTGCTGTGTGATAATATCTTTTGTCAGTTACAATAACTAAACTGATTTAAGGTTCTACGGGCTCAGTCTCCTCCCCCATGGATATCTGTGTTTTGCCGATTTGTAATTATTCTCAGTTTATTCTGAAAATCAAGTTTATTTTTGTGTGAAACTTGCAACTTGCTGTGGACATACATGCATGCTACCTTTTATGTTAGTTTGTTTCTCATTTTGTTTCAATTTCTGTCCATTCATGATTAAAGACAGTGAAGATCCTCTTACCTCAAGTTACCTTACTATCTCTCCAGTACAGGCATGTTTCTTTCTGGATTTTGAACTAAGGATTTAATCAGAACCTAACACAACCACCTTTAGTTTTACTTGTCCCTGTTACTTAGTTTTTAAATATATTACTTCTTACAAGTTTTGCTGTTAAGCTCTTGCATAATACATTGGGAATTCAGAATGAGAATGTCATTCCTTATTTTCTGTGCAAGTTGCTTAATCAAAAGTGACCTACAATTTCAAGCATGAATGCATAACATCTCATTATTACTCACTAGCTGAGACATTATATGGCAGGTCCATTATGTATTGGGATGTGACAGATGCATTTGAGAAAAGCCATTTACTATGTACCTTGGGTTGCATGGAGTTCTGTCAATTGGTTTCATAGAGGTAACCTAGGTAGATGTCAAACAATCTGAGTTTTCCTCCCCTTGTCATGCATGCACTTATACCTTTGTTTCAATTCCAAACAAGTCTATTGAATTCCCATTATAATCACCTGTTTTGCCATAGGGTCAAATAAGGAAATCTCTGAAGTGCTCATTAATTTCCTGTTCCATCTGCTTCTGGGACTGATGGAGAGGTCTACAGACAAATCAAACTGGGGATAGTTGCCCTCTTCATGAGATGCAGCTATGGCTCTGAATGTGCCTGTTGGACATACCCTGACTTCATGCATTTAGCTGAAGATCTGGATAAATATAGAAGGTGATACCTGTTCAGTTTTTCTGCTAGAGTGAGGAGCATGTACATTTTTACCACACTGTTACCATGTATTCATCAACTAAAAATGCAAGAAGTGGAATTTTGCTTCTCCCTCTTTATGGATATGAAAGATAGGTATTTCTAGAGGGTCGAAATATTCTTGACATATGTGCTAACATCATTATTTTAGTAAAGCTGAAAATTAAAATTAAAGGTGAAATTAGTGAGAAATTAAAACTGAGGGGCTATGCAGACAGGCAGCTCTGGGCCGCCCCTGCTAGCCATGGATTGGGGCCGTGGCAACTGCACACCGCTGCTCTGATCCTCCCTTTTGTTGCCTCTGATAGAGTGGCAAAATGCTGCTCCTTTCAGGGGTGGCAAAAGGCTACTCTAAGAGCCGGTGCAAGGATCTTCAGCACCCTTTCCAGTGCAGAGTGTTTGAATGCTGTGCCGGAAGGGCGTGTTGCTGTGCACTGTGCATAATGGCCCATGGTGTCAGGACAATGTCAGTGTGGGGTTGGGGTGGCCAGTGTGCGGCTGCCCTGTCCCATCTTTGCTTCCAGAGTTAGGGCCTTTGCAGACTGCCAGAAATAGTGCAAATTGAGTCCACTTTAACTGCCCTGACTCAGTGCTAGGGAATCATAGGAACTGTAGTTTATTGTGGCACCAGAGCTCTCTGACAGAGAAGGCTTAATGTCTCAGGAAAAAAATACAATTCCCATCATTCCCTAGCACCGAGCCAGGACAGTTAAAGTGGACTCAATTTGCACTATTTCTCGCAGTCTGCAAAGGCCCTTAGACTCAAGTTAAAATCAGTGGCTAATGAAATCAGTGAAGCTTCACTAAGGGCTGGAACAAACCAGGCAGAAAAGCTGGCTTCCACACTGCTTGAGAGTGGGATGTTCATACAATCAGCACAGAAAGCCACTTTCAAGATGCTCTTGGAGGGGGGGTGCAGTGTTTACATGCCACCCACTGCTAGAGCTGCTTAAAGCTGCCCTGGGGTTGCAGCCAGGCCACATAAGGTAGCTTTTTACTGGCCCAAATAGGAGCAGATCTTTTCCACTCCTATTTGGCCCAGCTTCAGGATACTGTCTGAATGTGCAGCCCTTGTCAATTGAAAAGACACCTACTCTGTCGTCCTCCACAAAACATATCCCACACAGATCAGGGGGGAGGGGAGAGGTACATGCAAGGGAGGTTTGTGTGGACAGACTGGATACTACAGCTGGTGGTCATGGAAGGGACACGGTCAACAGATCAAATGGACAAATGTTACTCCAGGAATCCCTCCCCCATCATGCCAGGAAGTGGAGTGCAGGTCTTATGCACATCTGCACACCTGCACAGAAGAGGTCACAAAAGCTTCTTTCATGCAAACTGCTGTGCATACTGACAGCAAGTGTACATGCAACAGAAGCAAAGGTCAGTGAATCCTTGCATTATCTTTGGGTGTGTGACAGGTCCTACACATGTATGCAGGAATGCCAAACTCCAGCCACCTTTGTACAGACAAAATGACAGACTGTATGCTAGCTCTTGTGTACATGTGCATGCATCTGAGTGAATGAAAAAAAAATTAAAGCAGCAGTTGCTGGGGTTTCAATTTAACCTCAGAAAAAGCTGCATTGACTCCCCCCCCAGTGCAGTTGTTCTGTCCCTATTTAGGGCATCCTCAGGGCAGGTGTTGTGGTTGCTGCAGCTTACAGAAAGGGCACTTTCAGGTCACCTTTTCCTGCCTGACTGCATAGCCCCTAAGTATTTATTCTGAGAACTCCATCTAAGATAGGGAGCTATTCTAATCTAGTTACATCTTTAGCATTGTCTTGGAGAAGAGTGGAGGTGAGAAGAGGAGTGGAAACATCCGTAACAGTGTCAGTTTATATCACAGAGGAGTCAGGATAGGTAGACAGATTCCTACACCACGGGGGGTGGGGGGGGGGGGTGGACTAGATTGTCCTTGCAGTTCGTTCCAGCTCCATGGTTTTATTATTTTATGGCTCTGCTCAAAAAGTATTTCAATAATGTATACTTTAAGATAAAATACATACACCATGCAATTCTATGGATATTTATTCAGAAGTCTCATTGAATTAAATGGGATTTATGTCCAAGTATACCATTGCAAATGTAAAAATGCATATTTTGGAAGGATATGTAAAACACAACTATTGTGCTCCCCCTTTCAACCTTCAGGTTAATGCAGAAAGAAACAAACAAACAAACAAAAAGAAATTGATTTATCAGTGATTTGAACACACACAAACAAAATGATATAGAAATAGAGTAATTTTTCCATTTCTAATTGAATCCCAAATTGTACCTTTCATACTTCAACAATTTCATTAGGAAATCAAAAGGAAACTAAAGAAATGCTACATTCCTCCTCTCTGTGTACTTCTTGACACAACAAGAAGAAAGAGAAACAAACTATAAATTATGTCTGTTCTCCAAATTTTATTAGGCTTTTGTGAAAACCTATGAATTACTGGACAAATGTAGCATGTTATTCCCTTTACCTGTCCACGGCAAGCCACACAATTTGTGAATTTGGAACCTACAAGTCAGCATGGTGGGATTTTCCTTCACAGACATAAAATCAATGTAACCATCTGTAAATATGTGCTACAATGGTAATAAAACCACAAGCTATACTGATACAAATGTGGATCATAATTATACCAGGCAAGTGTCTCAGGTCCCTTAATCCCAATGCTCTAACAAAATCATTTGAAACCATCCACACTTGGAATAGAGTGTAATGCCAGTTTGACTTTTTTTTTTGGGGGGGGGAGGTAGGATGTGGATTCACAAAATATTTTTTTTCAATATGTTATAATAATTGCTCTGAATAGAAGGATTATTGGTTTTAAGTCCTTTGACTGAGGCAGTTTCTTTTCTTTTTCAAAAATTAAACCCCTTGACAGGTTTATAAATGTTTCTTAAGAAGACTGGGAGTTGGAGTTCAAAGTGTGATTGTTTCCTCCAAATCCTAAATCTGTAAATGTATTTGAGATGAAGAAAGTGGAGGGTTCAAAGTTTGCTTTTTCCAATTCCCTAAATCTGTAAATCCATTTGAGATACAGTAAGCTCTAGTTTGCTTCCCTCACACAGCTAATTTTATGCCAAGAGGTCTC